CTTTGGTCCTCCCAATGCCTAAAAAAGACGACCGCTCATATTCGTCCTACTACAGGCCTATCGCCATCACATCCTTGTTCTCCAGAATAATGGAATTCATTATAAGCTGCCAGCTCATGAGGTACCTTGAAGATAAGCTGCTAATTAGTGACCACCAATACGGTTTACTTTGGGTTCGACCATCTGTTGATCTTCTGTTCTACTTAAGTCTTATATATGCGGAGGCAGTACAGTCCAAGTGGGAGGTATTGGCCGTTAGTTTGGACATAAAATAGGCCTTCGATCGGGTTTGGCACAAAGCGGATCTATCAAAGCTCCTTCCTATGGGCTTCCCGAGAAATTTTACAATTGCATCACCAGTCTTCTGGCTGATCAGAGCATTAAGGTAGTAGACGGTGCATGCTCCGATTACAAACCTATCAATGCTGGTTTTCCTCATGGCTGCGTGCTATCATTTACGCTGTTCTTTCTGCATATTGTAACGGTGCATTATTATAATAAAAAAAATCAATAATTGAATTGTATATAAAGTAATTTAAAAACACCATAGATATATATTTTTAAGAATTAAAATGCATTAATAAGCATACATTTAAAATGCATTCATATTTTGTTTGTCTGGTCACATATATTTGACAAATATAACAGACGACCTATTTTCTATATAGAGTCCGTGGGGGGGGGGACTAATTATATAGCCTAAGATGGTGAATTGCACTGACTTAACAAAAACCTATTCGCTCTTGCCTAATAGTACTAGGTAAGTATTATTTGTGACCTATTTGTGTGTGTGTGTGTGTGTGTGTGTGTGTGTGTATGTGTGAAGAAAAGCGTATGAGAATACGTGAAGAAGAATAAAGGTTGAGTGCTACTTCGCTTACCTGTACGAGGTTGCCACTCGAGAACCTTTCTTCCTGTTTTTTATTTTCCAAGTTATATAGCCAGACCATTGCCATTTCACTTTAATATTCCGTTGGGCTATGTCAGTTACTCTGGTTCTAATGCGAATATCTTCATTTCTAACTTTATCAAGTAAATAAACCCCTCTCCAATTTAAAATTTTTACATTTTTTAGATGATAGTTTGTCTAACATTAAAAAAACCATAAACCCAAGAATGTCTTTATATAGTTATTTATACTTAGGGAGCACCATTTTGTTTTATTTATTTAAATTGTTTGATTTAATTTGATAACAGTGTACCTAAATTTAAGTATCTGTATCTACATTTCCCTCCCCAACAATATTTTATAAAGTCATACTCATAAAAACAGCGTTTTATTGTAATACATAATTAGAAAATTCAGTATCAACTAATTAATAAAAATATGCAACAATAAATTACATAGGTATTAAAACTATTGAAATCTAAGCAACGAGAGCATGTTCGTCGTTCCACATCTAAATTATATAAAAATGCATTTTTCAATTTCACTAATCAACGTCGCCGCGAAAATTTTTTCATCTTTGGGCACTTTAAAAATTAATTTAGTTATAAAATAATATTTACAGTTACCAGTGTAGAGATATTAACTAAATTAAGTATTTCTAGTCATAAAAATATTTATAATTCAGTATAAACTTTTAAAAAACTAATATATATTTGAACGAAGTCGCTCCAACACCAACGCGCGGTCCACCCTCGACGATGTCCGAAAACGGACTGCGACAGGGCGACGGAGCATGCGCGCTCGCGTAAATTTTATAATAATATTATAAGAGAATATATCATTTTTCCCTGAAATATTCAGTTTCAGGGAAAAATTATATATTCTCTTATAAAAAGGGGAATAAAAATAAAACTCTCAATTAAAAATATTAATATTTTTAAGACCTTTTTTTAGTGTAAGAACTATTTAAAAACCTTGTGCCGTTTTGGAGAAATTTTGCAAAATATGACAAAGATAGGTATATATATGTATGTATATGTATGTAGATATATATATATATATATATAAACATACATATACATACATACATACATACTAAGGAATACATATAATATACAAAAACTGCATATGTAAATATATGAAGAAAATATGTATCATGCATAGATATAATATATACGTTACATATAATAATAAAATACATATATTGAAATTGCAAATAATAAAACATCTAAATGTGTCAAAATATAGAATCATCATTCTTAACATCTGACATTACTTCGATTCAAAAAAAAGTCGTGTACCAACTTTTTAAAACAATTCTTACTTGGCGCTCTTCTTATGTTTTCGGGCAAGGAGTTCCAGAGTAGTGTTGCCTGAATAGTAAAGGAATTGTTGGTGAATCCAGTGAAATGAGATGGAATACTGATCTTATGATTAGATGAGGAGCGAAGAATCTTATCATGAGTTGAAAAGAGATATTGGAATTTGTCCTTCAGATGTGTTGGAGAAGTTGGATTATTCAAAATTGAGAAAAAAACGAGCAAAATTCTAGAGTTTCGTCTTTGTTGGATAGTGAGCCATTTCAGGCGTTCACGATATTGAGAGATATGATCATATTTTCGAAGACCAAATATATATTTAATACAGCTATTGAGAAGACGCTCTAGCTTATTAAGATTTTGGTTCACATCTGGGTAGCACACATCTGCATAATGAATGATGGGTATTATAAGTGTTTGCGCAAGTGTTAGCTTAGTCTTGATTGGAAGAAAGTTCTTCAGACGATAGAGGGATCGTAAGCCAACAAAGACTGTGACATGCGTACACCAGTTCATAGTGTTATCCATATAAAGGCCAAGATTTTTTACAGAGGAAGAGAACGGTATCAGTATATCGTTGTAATAGACAGCAGGTAGGCTTGTCACATCAATTTTTGACAACATTCTCAAGCTACCTACGATTATAGCTTGACACTTCGTTGGATTAACTGATATTCCAAAACGCCTAGACCATTCTTTAATAGCTTCCAAGTGCAGATTTAACATTCTTATAGCGTCATGGAGCTCTTCAATAGATGAGTGCAAGTAAATTTGGAGGTCGTCAGCATACAGATGGTACGAACAGTTAAGAATAGATGTGACCAAGTTTATAAAAACTGAGAAAATTAATGGAGAAAGTATACCGCCTTGCGGGACGCCAGCATCGAGACTAGCCTACTTGGAACTCTTCTGTCCCAAATGGACAGACTGCTGACGCCCGCGAAGATATGAAGAGAACCAATCTAAGACTGAGGGTGCAAATCTTGTGTGCAAAGTTTGTTTATATATATATAAACAAAATGTTGTTCAGATTCTGATGGCAGTGATGGCGAAAGAGTGGGATAAGCAACCAGAACGGTGTAATGGAACGACTTAAGATTACCCGAAGAACATAAACAAATAATTACGAGAATCTCCCAGGTAATGAAATTTGGATTAGATACTCAGGAGCACATAAGATCGTTTAGAATTGAGAAATGGGTGCAGACTATTCAAACATATCTGCGCTGTATAATAGGCAGCCAATTTAGCTGTGTACGAAAAGAAGATACATGATTGTATTTACGTAGACCATAATTGTTCAGATACATAAATATATCTGATGCAATTGTTAAGCAGACTATCTAAGGTATTAAGATGATGTTGAGACAGGTCTGGGAAACACACGTTGACATAATCAATAATCGGTAGAATAACTGAATGGACAAATAGGAACTTAGTATTTATAGGAAGGAATTTTTTAATCGATATAGAGATCGTAAAGTTTCAGTACTTTCGCGACTAAACTCCTGTATATGTTTGTTCCATGTCAAGCAACCAATAACATGTAGACCAAGGTTCTTTATGGAGGAAAATGGTATTAATTAGTGAATAAACATAACTGATGGTAGGGTGGGAATATTTAATTCAAATAAGGATCTTGGACTACCTAAAATTTTCGTTTGGCATTTAAACGGGTTCACGTTTATGCTATATACAGTGGACCATTCTTAGATGTATTTCAAGTCATTATTTACAAATGTGATTGAATTCATGATATTTGAGGGTTCCACTTGCGCATATAACTGCAGGTCATCGGCATACAGATGGAAAGTGCACTTGAGAGTTAATGTGATGAGATTGATGAAAATAGAAAATAGAAGAGGAGAGATAATACAGTCTTGAGGGACGCCAGTATATACATCACACCAGTCAAATAGTGTATATCCAGTGCCCATAAACTGTTGGCATCTTCGAAGATATGATGTGAGCCATTGTCATCTGAAGACAAGATATTCACATAAGAAAAGAAATATCTATTAAGATGAGAACGGTCAGTTTGAATTTTTCCAATCCCTTAGGAATAACTTCCATCACCTTGAGAAGAGCAGTAGTTGTAGAATGACCAGGGTGGAAACCAGACTAATGAGGGGAAAGATTTTTTTTTTCAGAAAACAAATGAAGAAATTTGTTAATACACAAGATATACCAGAAACTTAGAGAGAAAAAGCAAGATTAAAATCGGTCGGCAATTGGATATAGCGCTACAGTTGGTGAATTGAAGAATGGGAATAAAAAAAGCTTTATGCCAGAGAGATGGGAAAGTACCATTCATTTGAGAAAAGTTAATAATATCACGTTATCACGGATAACATCATCACAGTCAATGTGTTTTGATTTAATAGAAGGTGCTTTGCATACCTCGTCTTCGTCTATAGTAGAAAAAGCGAAAGTTTCATCAGAATAAGGAGAAATAGAAAATGTATTTATATTAATTATTGTAAGTAGTCATTTGACATGATAGTCATAACTCCAGGATTATATAGGTAGATATAGTAGTATATATTTTTACACCGGCGCACACGGTAAAAAAGTAAGTAATTTGAAATAAATTATGGACATTATAAATAATTATGGTACTATCTTTAACGTTGTAAAATTATATTGCCCTAATCAAGGAGATATAATAGATTATTGATTTTGGAAGCTATGGCGATTATCTTAAGTACCTCATAACGCAACTAATAAAAATTAACTCGACCAACACTCGCGCGTCAGTTGATCATTGTTGACCAAAGGAAAACTTGGTCAAAATGTATAAAGTTGCGCTATTAATTGCACTGTCGTTCTGTTTGGCACTTGCCAAACATGAACAGTACAATGGGTAACATTTTTTTCTTATTTTATATATATGTGTTCTATATGTGAATATTTATTTATTAATAAATTCGCTTTGAAACCTAAGTTTTTTAAAAATCTATATTTATTTTAACCGATTTCAAATTAGAAGGATGTCATCAATTGGTTTGTTTGTTTTTTTCCTTAATGTATGTAATACAATATCGATGGAGCTGTTTTTTTTTTCTACTTTAATAGAGCACACTCCACTCAGTGTCATTAGTCACGCATAAATTTCAACCAGATCCATTAGAAGTCCGTTTACATTAATTAATAATCCAAGAGTTACAAAGCTTCAATATGAATTGTGTTTGTATAAATTATGTGAGAAACAACAAATATTATCATTATGATTATGAAAGATTCAATTGAAAGCAAATATTTGTCTCATGATTGGTTACTTACTTTTTAGCTACGTTGTATACCAGGTTAAGGTAGTGAATGAACAACAGGCGCAACAAGTTAACGCATTGGAAAACCAGCTGGGGTTTGATATGTGGTCGTATGCCACACCAACACGTCCAGGTCTCGTGCTTGTACCTGGCTCAATGCGCCAACGCTTCCAGAACGCGATCGTTGCCACTGGAGCACAGTATGAAATACAAGTGGAAAACGTTAAAGAGTGAGTACTTACAGTACACCATATAAGTAATTCCATAACCTGTAGCGGCGGTGCGGTGTAGGAATATCCACCACCCCATATTCAGATCCTCGGGATGTTGTAAGAGACGACAGAGATAAAATGAAACAGGAGATGGACAGCAGTATTTTCCTAATTACAACTCAAAATAATAAAAAACTGCGACTGCCAACGTGCTTGCCAAGCGTGGCAACTATGGCAAAATTGCCCCATGAGGCAATCTATAAGATAGTCCTATAATAAGCAATGGAGCCTATATGTAATTCTAGTTCCATCGTCATCATTATATGCCCGATTCTTATGTTTAAGACATATCGCGCTTAGTTACTTTACATTTTATTATACTGCCTTACTTTTTTACCGTGAGAAAATAATAAGAGTATTAGAGCAGGTGAACAAACAAAAACGAACGTAAGTAGAAGTCTATGTATTTTGATTTGTTACAAGTTACTTATTTAAAAGAAAAAGTAATTAATAATATCTTTTCAAATCATGTGCACCCTAATTTACGCGTGGTAAGTATTATTGAATTTGTAACGCTTTTGACCTTGTACTGTCTGCAATACAAAAAATACTTCAAATTAATAATATTTATTGATAGATCAGTTTGATAACATGTCAATAATCAATGATAAGCAATAATTTAAAAAAATATATACTTCTGCTTCGTTCACCTTTCACACTCTGTATTTTTTTCTCACGTTAAAAAGGTTAGCAAGTATAAGTCGTGAATTATAAAATCGTTTCTATTACAATTTACGATGACCTGTTCAACAAGTGTTTCTTTCTTTTTATGCACCACGTGTTCAACGGATAGTAGGGAAACCTTATTAAAATATAGGAGCTAAGTATATACATGTGCAAGTCACATGTTAGTATGTGTTGATTGTGTTTGATTTAAATGAATATTTCATTTATTTTAATTACCTCTTTTATAATCTGACAACGCATCTGCATTTTAATTCGCAAACGAAGATAGATGCAGATGTCCATAGGCCACAGCAACTACTTATCATCAAGTGGATTGTGTGCTCGTTTGTCACCCTTATTCTATAAAAAAATGTCGACGTAAAAGAATCCATCACCTGTATAGTCTTAGATATGGTCTCCAACTGGAAGTGCTATAACCATTTCGAATATTCATTAATCTTACTTCTACTTTCCATCTATTACAGCCTATAAATAACCACTGCTGAACATAGGCCTCCCTATAGATTATCTTATAGGGGTATTTTGCCATTGTTGTCACTTTTTCCGTTATTCGGATAGTCGTTAGGGGGATTTCCGTTAAAGTTATTGCGTCTATAATAGATACAATCGCGCCTGATTTAGCTATTATTTTTAATACTAGTATCGAATCTGGTTTCCTGGTTTAATGAAGCATAGTAAAGTAATACCTTTATTTAAATCTGGTAGTACATTAGACCCCGCCAATTTTAAACCTATTTCTGTACTACCAACACTTAGTAAGATTTTTGAAAAAATTGTTCTTGATCAAATGTAAATTTTTTTTAATATAAATAATTTACTTCATAAAAATCATTTTGGTTTCACAAGGGGTCGCTTGACACCTGATACCGATATTGAGCTGATTAAATACATCTTGCATGGGAGAATTCACAGGATGCTTTGGGTAAATTTTGTGACCTATTCAAGGCATTCGATTGTGTTCACCATGAAACATTAATCAGGAAACTTCAACACTACAGTGTAAGAAGTGATACTCTTAAATTAATTATTTCATATTTAAGTAAGAGAGCGCAAAAAGTTGTCATTAACAATATGAGCTCTTCCGGGTCGATGGTACAAATGGGCGTGCCTCAAGGCTTAATTCTCGGCCCCTTTCTGTTTCTTGTATACATTTTTAGTGACTTACCTTACATAGTAGGGGATAACCATGATTTAGTATTATTTGCAGATGACACTTCTTTAATTTTCAAATTAAGTCGACAACTATTTTTTTTATAGGATAAGGGTGACAAAGGAGCACACCTGATGGTAAGTGGTTGTTGCGGCCCATAGACATCTACATGTATCCTCTATTACAAATCAAAATGTAGATGCGTTGTCACCCGTGAGGACTAAGATGGAATGCCTCATTTCCAGTAAAAAGGGCCTCCGGCCATCTGCACTCACCAAGCGAAACGCAGAGGCAAACCTCTACTTCCCGCTGGTTTTCTGTGAGGTCGTGGTACCACCCCGGTTCGAGCCGGCCCATCCGTGCGACAGCAAAAGCTGCCGCATGGCTCTACCACTATTAAAAATATGACGAAGTAAATAATGCTATATCTAAATTAGTAAATTGGTTCAACGTTAATAATTTGCTTTTAAATGGCACTAAAACGAAATTCATGACTCCAAATGTCAAACAATTAAATACTATTGTAATTTTAAATGGGGAGAAACTGAGTCTTGTAGATACCACCATTTTTCTTGGAATCACACTAGACGCGAAGCATCAATGGAGCCCCCATATATCAAAACTAGCAAGCAGACTTAGTTCTGCAGCATATGCTGTAAAAAAGATTAGAAGTCTAACCAGTGTTGAAACAGCTAGTTTACTTTAGCTATTTCCATAGCATAATTTCGTATGGTATTTTGCTATGGGACACGCAGCTGATACTGAAATTATATTTGTTTTACAGAAGAGGACCATAAGAGCAATTTATGATTTAAAGCCTAAAGAGCTGCTCCGACAAAAATTTAAGGAAATTAATATATTAACTTTGGCCTCTCAATACATTTATGAAAATGTAATGTACGTACACAAACATAAAAGTAGTTTTACAAAATAAGTGATATTCATTCTGTAAATACTAGAAACAAACATATGCTAGTAGTACCAGTTACTTGACTCCGTCGAGTCAGTAATTCATTCTTGGGGCGATGTATACGCTTTTACAATAAAATTCCAGAAAATATACAAAATTTGACCGGCCCCAAGTTCAAAAACTTTATTAAACTAAGTTTGTATAAAAAGGGTTATTATAATATTAAGGAATTTATATTATAATAACCCTTTTTATAAACCCCTGGAAATGAGGTGATCGCTATTAAGCTATTTCAAATTTGTTGTGTTGTTAATGTGTGTAACATACATGATATGTGTGGAACAGCATGATAAGCTGTTATTTAAAAAAAAGTCGCACTGGGTTTCTTATTGGTTCTTCCCAGGAAAGAGGTTTTTTCCCGAACCAATGGTAATTAAACAAAAGTGTGACTTTCAATAAGTATTATTTATAATCTTTATTGAATAAAAAAGTTTCTGTTTCTGTTTGGTAGACCGGAGAAAAACCACAGATTTTATTATTTTAAGTTATTATCAGGAAGATACTGTTGCCCGTTTTCTGAAACATGGTACCATATGACCAGCAGTCGATTTTATAAGCCAGGCAATAGCCGTACTTACCAGATATAAAATATAATGTCCGGTGACTTGAAACAGGCATCATAGGCGAAATGACTGTGGTGGTGACTGATTGATAAGTGTAGCGATTACAGCAAATTGTCCCTAATATGGTAGAGGCCCATATTCAGAATAAAACTGTTATTAGACTGATGGAGAAGAAAGAAGAATAAGATCTCTTTTTGGTACGTATTATAATCTATTGTTGGCTGTAGCATAAATACGTCGACGCAACCGGGGTTAGACCACGCTCTCACAGAATACCAGGTTAAAATAGCAAATTAATGCTACTTTTTCGTATGGTGACGGAAGGAAGCGGAGACCCTTTTTACTGGAAACGAGGCTTTCTACCTTAATCCTCAAAGGTTACAAAGCATCTACTATTTGATTTTTAATCGAGGGTTAATGTAGATGTATATGCGCCACAGCATCTACTTACCATCAGGTGAACTGTATGCTCGTTCAATATCGTCTTATTCAATAAAATAAAACGTGAAAATATTTCTACATACAAGTCTCCCTATATGGGGTAGTGGATATTCTTCTACTACCACTACAAAGTCAGGTACATCTCAACGCCTACCTATTTCTTATAACAAAACTTTTATTTTAATCACATAATTGGTTTCTTGACTAGCATTATAACAGTCATGAGGATTTTGAAGTGAAATAATATTTTTAAGAAGTAATAATTTTACAGTCTGTTGGATTTGGAAGATCAGCTCTTAGCTGCTGCTTCTCAGCGGAGTAACAGTACAAGTGGTCGTCTCTCATTCGATACCATTCACCGTTATGGAACAGTAAGAATTTTTTATATATGCAATATTTTCATTTTTAATTATGTGTTTCCTTCGTAGCATGTCAGAGACTGTAAACGCACGGTATATTGAATAGTACGCAAGCAAACCGAATTAAAATTAACTGACAGGGAAAGTATGCGTAGCAAATTTGATTGTGAAATTAAATATAAATATAAAGAATGAAGAGTGAAATTGTTTATAGATATTGCATTCATTTTACATTAATTATAAGGTAGGATTCATTTCGTCTGGATACGTACCCTCTTATGTCGTTCTGCCGCTAAACATCAATGGTTGCACATGTGGCTAAGTGGCTTCTGCAGTAAAGGGTACTGCAGAAGCCACTTAGTTCGTTTGTCACTTAATATTTATATAGAAATAAGGATATGTGAAGTCTAGCATCATGCACTAGAGCAGCGCGGCGGATGTTTTGTTGCTCTAGAATACTCTCGGAATAAGAAGCAGGCTGTGCTTGACAAAAGCACCTCTTGACTATTACTCTAAACTTTATTTTATTATACAAAATATACTCGTTACTGTTACCTAATATCATGTTGAGTGCACATGTTTTGGAATACCATCCAGATTGTTATTTTGCATTTATTATGTTCAATTGTTCATGTTTTGATGTTATTCTGTTTTGTGTACCTAAATAAATAAATAAAAAAATAAATACTATCATTATATTGGTCTTTAAGTAGTGCTGAATTATTTTAAACATTAGTTAATTTAAATAGTGCAACTTATTTATTCTTTCTGTTGTTTAATTTTTAAGGTCGATGCCTACCTCGTTGACTTAGCTCGAAAATACCAGACTGTGTCTGTTGTTTCTGCTGGAAAAAGTTTTGAAGGCCGTGATATCAAATACCTGAAGATTTCAACCACCAACTTCCAGGTAACTTTATTTTAAATTAATAGGTAAACTATATTAACTCTTATTAGAATTTTCCAATTGTTAGTTTCATAACCTTACAGTTTCTTAATTTTTAATTTCAGGATTCTTCTAAACCTATCATCATGATTCAGTCTTTGATTCACGCACGTGAATGGATAACTTTACCCGTATCTCTGTACGCCATCGAGAAATTAGTTGTTGATATCACCGACAGAGATCTCGTTGATAAAATCGATTGGATTATCTTGCCTATTACCAATCCCGATGGATACGAATTCACTCATACCAACGTAAGTCTGTTCAATGTAATCTATAAATTTTAATAAAATTGGAGTATTTGTCTGTAATATTGAAATAAATGGCTTCTATTAAACTCAAGGTGTCATTTGCATGCTATTAAGACAAACAACCAAAAATGTTTGTCTGTCTGTCTGTTTATCCAGGCGTATTCGAAATGGCTAAACCGATTGTGATGAAACTTTACGAAAAAAATTCGCGACCTGGGGGGATCTAGGAAGTATATAAACATTTGAAGACTTTTTCAAAAAGAAAGAACATGATAAAATAAATGGATTTTAATCTTAATAACGCGGCACATTAATAGATCCTATGCAAGCGAAGCCATGACAATGTATATTATATAAAAGAGCCACGGTAGATAGAAGTATATTATGATCAGCACTAGGCGTAAATTTTACAGCACTTGAGAAACCCGCTTTCTTTGCCCATTGGCACCAGTGAAATTGTTTATAGACATTTCAAGTACTGATTTACCATGGGCTCGGCGATTAAGTGTTTTTCTACCGCTTAAGTAAAAGCCGCGTTGACATTATTGAATCTTATAAAATTAATTTTTTTTTCAGACACGTTTCTGGAGGAAAAACCGATCCACAGGTCATATGATTGGAAATGTATGCCTCGGCGTCGATCTGAACCGTAATTTTGATTTCATCTGGGGAACACTTTCTAGCAACTCTGCCTGTTCTGAGACTTTCCACGGCTCTGGAGCTTTCTCTGAACCCGAGAGTGCTATCATTCGCAATATTGTAAATCAGTACCGCAACCGTCTTGAGTTATATCTTGACATTCACAGCTTTGGAAGTCTGATCCTGTATGGTTACGGAAGTGGCGAACTTCCCCCCAATGGTCTTACTCTTAACGTAATGGGCGTTAGAATGGCACAAGCCATCGATGCTGTCAAATGGAAATCTAATCCCAACTACCGCGTTGGAAATATTGCTATGGTTCTCTATACATCATCTGGAGGCGCTTCTGATTATGTTCAAGCTGTTGGTGTCCCTCATTCATTCACTTTTGAATTACCAGCCTACAGAAACCAACAGAACAGTATTAACGGTTTCCTTGTGGACCCTGATTTTATTGAGCAAGCTGGTTACGAGACCTGGGAAGGTATTAAAGCTGGTGCAAGGTTTGTGCTGGAATTCTCTAGGAGTAAGAAGTAACTGCGTTAATTTTTTTTTATATATTTTGATAAAAATAATAACTAAATAAATATCCATACAATCAATGTTATTTTGTTTTTCTCGTATGAGTTTGCCATTTATCCGAATACGAAGAAACTTAGAGGAGTGTTTCTAAATCTGATAAAAAAATGCATACCGGTCAAACACAGGAGATAGCCACCAGAATCTTCCTGACAACGACTCAAAATAATTTGAATTCTGCTGATGCAAACCCGCCTACAAAGCATGGCAATTATGGCTAATATCTTCCCCTCCCTCCATTCTTTAGCAGAGGCATATATTTAGTAGAAGCTCTTGATAGGCAGTAAATAATGAAAAAAAAATATTTATAAAATAAACACTCACTTCTGGCATGGAAGCATTTCAACATATTTAATTATAATTGGAAAGATGACTGAGTTCTACCTTCGATTTAGGATCTTATGATTAACAAAATAAATTACAAACCCGCAAGTACCATTGCAACACATTAATACCGTAAACTATTAATGTAATAGTTTGCTATCATCTGTTTTTCCGTCTGGTTATAATGTGAGTGTCTTCAAGGCAATAGTGAGTAGGCGTTTGTTAAGCTTAGTCATTGCGCTTTGCCTTCTTCAGCTGCATCACCACTTACCATCATGTGGGATTATCACGTCAAGCACTGACTTATTATAATAACAAAAAAGTTATCAAAAAAATTTATCAAAATAACTAATAATTAAAAGCATAATGAAGTAAATTATAACTACTTAAATAATTATACATACATAATAATAAATGTACATAGCTGAAATGATGCTGTGGCAAAAAACCTTAAATTAATAAAGACTGCTATTTCTGGGCAAACTGGAAGACCTCTGTTACTGTATTTCATTAATGAGTCTTTAATAATGTTATAATATTACTGATTCTTGACCAAATCTGTATTGTTTTTTTTTTTAAATTATCACTTTGTAACTTAAAAGAGTCGGAGGCATCCCTTATATAAATTTTTGATAAACGATATCGCGAAGGCTCGTCGACGAAGAAGGATCGTCATTGTACTCAATTTCGTCGTAAAATCTTTTCAACCTCCATGTCACCGATCACGATCTTAAGTCACGGACTGCCCGTATTCAGATTTTAACATTTGCAAGGCGTTTCTCTTTCGTTTATTAATCAGTGCGTCACTCAGCTGATATCGTAAACCTAAGCCACATCTTGAGATATGTTTATTAATAAGATCATAATCTCAATATTGTACTCAAGTGCGTGTACTTGAGGTGAGTAACGTTTATTAATACGGGCCTTAGAGCACAAACAAACTTAGAGTCCACGTGATGGTAAATGGCTACTTCAGTCCATGGTCACCTGCAGCCATCTGCAAATAAAGGAAGCTATAGATGAATTGTCACCTGAACACGGTGATGGAATGTCTAACAGCCTGTAATTATAAGGGCCCTCTATACATTTCAAACTGGAGCACAGCATTGAAAACACTGCTATTTGGCATCAGGCATCTAACGGTGGTAGAGCCACGCAGCAGTTTTTGCTGTTGCATGTATGGGCCGGCTCGAGCCGGATTGGTACCACGACCTCACAGAATACCGGCGTGAAGTAGAAGCTTTGCTTCTGCGTTTCGTCTGGTGAGTGCAGGTGGCCGGAGGCCCAATTTCCCCCCCCCCCCCCCCCCATTAACATGGTAGCGGAATTACACGAAGAACTACCCCAGGAGGGTACCAGCACCCCTGGAGAATCCCTCGCTGAGCATCCACGACCATGTTATTCCGATCCTGAGCGTGGGTGCTCAGGCTGCCCCGCGTATTCTGGGGGGGGCAAAATTCCGCTCAAAAGCATTACTGCTAGGGGCAAACTGAGCAAGAACACCAAGGCGACCCCTGCCACGCTATCCGTGAATTTCTGCAACATCAGGGGACTTCACTCTAACCTAAACGCCGTCCACTACCATCTCGAGACGGCGAAGCCGGCCTTGCTCTTTCTGACCGAGACGCAGGTTTCCTCTCCGGCTGATATTTCGTATCTCTCCTACCTGGGGTACAAATTGGAGCATTCCTTTGTGCCTCGGGCTGGAGTTTGCGTGTATGTCAGAGAGGACATCTGTTCTCGACACCTCGGCAGTCTTGAAGGTTCGGACCTGTCCATCCTTTGGCTACGCGTAGACAGCGACGACCATCCGCGCGTCTACGGGTGCCTCTATAGGTCCCATAGCGGTAATGCCGAAACAGACCGACTCATCGACCACGTCCAAATGGCTACAGATTTCTTGCTACAACAGGTCCCATCCGCAGAGATCGTGATTCTTGGCGATTTTAACGCCCACCATGCCGAATGGCTCGGTTCACGTTTAACCGATCATGCGGGGAGATCTGTTTATGACTTTGCCTTGGCATATGGTCTGACACAACTGGTTACTTCGCCTACGCGGATTCCAGATGTGGAGGATCATACACCTTCCCTGTTGGACTTTCTGCTGACCTCTCATCCGGACGGATATCAGGTTTCCGTCGATGCCCCTCTCGGCTCTTCGGACCATTGTCTGATCCGGAGTGTGGTGCCACTCACGCTCCCTTCGCGGTTGCGTTCTGCAGGTTGCCGCCGTGTTTGGCATTACAGGTCGGCGGATTGGGACGGAATGCGGTCCTTCTTTGCATCCTACCCATGGGGGCGGGTTTGCTTCTCGCCGGATGATCCCAGCGCTGTTGCTGACTCTGTCACTGATGTGGTGCTACAGGGAATGGAACTATTTATTCCATCATCTGTGGTACCTATCGGAGGCAGATCTCAGCCTTGGTTTGGTCGCTCCTGTAAGATTGCATTACGCAGTAAGCAGGAGTGTTATCAAGCCTGGGCTGCAGCTTCGGCGACTCGGGATGTAAATACCAGCACACTTAAAAATAAGTATAACTTCGCCTCCAGGTCCTTCAAAAGAGTTATTGCCAAGGCAAAGTCAGAGCACATAGGCAGAATTGGCGAGAAACTAGTTCGCCTTCCTTCGGGAACCCGTGCATTCTGGTCTCTCGCCAAGGCTGTCCAAGGGAATTTCTGTAAGCCATCACTACCATCTCTGCACAGGGAGGATGACTCACTGGCCCATGACGCAAAAGACAAAGCCGACCTTTTAGGCTCCCTTTTTGCGTCCAACTCGACTCTTGATGACGGGGGGAAAACACCGCCGACCATCCCGCGGTGTGAGTGCTCCATGCCGGATGTGCTGTTCTCACAGCGCTCGGTTCGCAAAGCACTGCTCTCCCTGGACATCCAGAAGTCGAGTGGGCCTGACCGAATCCCTCCAATTGTGCTGAGGACGTGTGCTCCGGAGTTGGCACCGGTGCTAACGCGTACCTTTTCCGGTACTCCTACTCCCAAGGCGTAGTCCCGAATTCATGGAAGACAGCTTTTGTCCACCCGATCCCTAAAAAAGGCGACCGCTCAGACCCATCCAACTATAGGCCTATCGCGATCACCTCCTTGTTCTCCAAAATAATGGAATCCATTATTAACTGCCAGCTCATCCGGTACCTTGAGGATCACCAGCTGATTAGTGACCGCCAATACGGTTTTCGTCGGGGTCGATCAGCTGGTGATCTTCTGGTCTACCTGACCCATAGATGGGCGGAGGCAGTAGAGTCCAAGGGGGAGGCGTTGGCCGTTAGTCTGGACATTGCGAAGCCCTTCGATCGGGTTTGGCACAAAGCGCTTCTTTCGAAGCTCCCTTCCTATGGGCTTCCCGAGAAATTGTGCAATTGGATCACCAGCTTCCCTGCAGATCGGAGCATCAAGGTCGTTGTAGACGGTGCATGCTCTGACTACAAGCCTATTAACGCTGGTGTTCCACAAGGCTGTGTGCTATCACCAACGCTGTTTCTTCTGCATATCAATGATATGTTGCTAACTGGTAACATTCATTGCTATGCGGATGACAGCACTGGTGATGCTCTATACACCGGCCGTGCCAATATTTCTCGGGAAAACGTCGCTGAGTACCGGAACAAACTTGTGTCAGAAGTCGAGTCTTTGCTGAACAAAGTCTCGGATTGGGGGCGACTAAATCTAGTCCAATTTAATCCTCAGAAGACACAAGTTTGCGCGTTTACCGCTAAAAAGAACCCCTTTGTCGTATCTCCTCAGTTTCAAGGCACTCCCCTTCTTGCCTCAGCCAGTATCGGTATCCTCGGAGTCGACATATCGAGTGACGTGCAGTTTTGTGGTCACTTGGAAGGGAAGGCCAAATTGGCCTCTAAAAAGCTTGGCGTGCTCAGCAGAGCGGGACAGTATTTCATGCCGGCACACCGCCTGCTACTTTACAAGGCGCAAGTTCGGCCTCACATGGAATACTGTTCCCATCTCTGGGCAGGGGCTCCCCAGTGCCAGCTCCTTCCACTTGATCGCATCCAACGCAGAGCGGCTCGAATTGTCGACGACCGAGCCCTTTCCGATCGGCTCGATTCATTGGCACTGCGAAGAGATGTTGCATCCCTTTGCATTTTCTTTCGCATCTACCATGGGGAGTGCTCTGAGGAATTGTTCGGATTAATCCCAGCCGCCAAATTTCACGAACGCACATCGCGGCAGAACTCCCGATACCATCCACACCATCTGGATGATTGGCGGTCCACACTGTGCGATTTAGAAGATGTTTTCTTCCTCGCACGACCTCCTTGTGGAATCGATTACCATCAGCGATTTTTCCGGACCGATACGATTTAGGGACCTTCAAGAAAAGAGCGTACTCCTTTTTAAAAGGCTGGCAACGCATCTGCGATTCCCCTGGTGTTGCAGTTGTTCATGGGCGGCGGTAGTCACTTACCATCAGGTGAGCCGCATGCTCGTTTGCCCCCTCTCCTATAAAAAAAAAAAATCAGGAATAGGTAAGTGGGTGATCCCTACCCTGACGGACTCCTTGACAGAAATGGAGTCCAATAACCTAGTAATGATAAGTAAAATAATATAACTACAGTCTACATCCCAACCTCATTCCTAAAAGGTTGAAATATAAT